AGGCTGTAGGCTTTATCATTCTAAGGAAGACCTTTGCAAATCAAAAGTTGGGCTCTTCATCCTGAGAAATACCGCTCTCTTACTTGCGGAAGAGAGAGGAAGAGGACAGTGTTCCGTTCTCTGCATATGAATGGTCATCACTCCACGGAACTGTCCTGGTGCTAAGAATGTTGCCTGAGATGCTGGGCTCCCAGAGGGCAAATGGTTGTAAAAGAAAGAATTCACATTTATGAGGTGGCAGGCCTGAATTCAAATCTACCTTCCTGTGCTTCATTTCAGGCTGGAGTGCTTTTTGCTCACTGAGGCAGTTTCCTTCGTAGTACGAGGAGAAATAACTGTGACGCTGAAACATTTTTTGTTGGTGAGGGGAGATGTGTGCTGTGAATTGAACCCAGGACCTTGTCCATGCTAAGCATGTGCTTTATCTCTGGGCCACCTCGAGTTGCCAGTCTTTAATTGGATTGTTCTGAGGATTGGAGATAATACCTGCTAAACCCTGGCACTCAGCAGGGGCTCCATTACAGCCTTTCCATTGTAGTGCCCCTTACCCCTGTGGGTACCAGCCCAGCAAGGTGAAGCCTAGGAGACTCAGGGAACAAGTTTCAGGGTTTTCTTAGGTGAGTCCCTAATTCTGCCCCACCAAAGGTTAGATGGGGAGAAGAAAAGAAGGCAAAGGAGAAAAAACTTTGTAGGGGTCTGGAAAGTATACTTTGTCTTCTAACCTAGACTAAGAAAACATAGGGGTCTAGTGAGGGTGGTGGTGCACACCTGTAATCCCAGCACTCGGGAGGCTGAGGCAGGATTGGTGTGAGTTTGAGGCTAGCCTGGACTACCTAGCAAGTTCAAGACCAACCTAAACTACATAGCAAGTCCCTTTAAACACACCACATACACACACACACACAGACACACGCACACACACACACACACACACACATACACACGTGCACACCCATGCGCAAAACCTAAACAAGAGATCATTCTGCAGGTGCAGTGGTGCTGTGCACAGGTTTACTGAAATTTGGGACAGGGCTCACGAATGACTTTCCCTTACCAAGTTGATTCCCTTTGCAACAGGGTCTCAAGACCCACCATCAAGCCACGGCCCAGTCTGCTGGGCTTGGGGCCTGAACCGAAAGTCTGTGGGGGTCTTATTGTTCTGTCACCTTAATGATAGACAGCTTGTTAAGGAGGGACCAAAAGGGAAGGGGCGTGGGGTTGTAACTAACGAATTTGAATGATGTTGTATTGCCTTAGAATGAATCCCTGACAGCAAGGTGATGGATGTAGAAAAATCTAAATTCCTTTAGTTTCTGGCTGGGCTCCATGTGAAGGCTGGTTGGTGTGACTGATTACTCTGAAGCGGTGGATGAGAAATGGGAGAAAATTGAAAGAAAAAAACTGTGAGATCCTGAGCTTTTGGGGGGGATCAGGCACACTTTTCATGGAATCCCCATTGTTCTGAGTGTTCTTAGTAAAAACCCCTGATAGAATCTGATAGGAAACACCAGGCTCCTTTTCTTGGAATGGCCGTTTGAACAGGTTACCAGGGATGGATTTGCTTTTGAAAATCCCTCTTCAGATTATTTGAGCATGTCAGTAAGGTCCTAGAATAAATGTCAAGCACTAGGTGCCAAGGTTCTTTGGCTGAAGATTCTGCTAGTGATGAATGGAGAAAATCTTGTTCATTTTCTTAGCACAGTATCACAACCAGGGTTTCAGAACGGGTCCTCTGGCATCTATATTTACTGAAGGTTTAACCTCAGGGTTGGATACTTTTATTTTTTATTTATTTATTTTTTGTCTTTTTTGTTTTTTACCGGTACCAGGGATCGAACTCACGACTGCCTGCTTGCAAGGCAGGCACTTATGCCGCTGAGCTAAATCCCCAGCCCTTATATTTTGTTTTTCTTTTCTCACTAAGCCCCTTGGAAATAATCTTTGACTATTTCTTCAAAATGTTTTCCCTTATTCTCTTGCCAGCCTCCCACTACAACCAGACAGTAGTGCACCATGCACATTTTCTTTCTGTTTTGTTTTCTGGCGAGGGATGGAGGAATCAAACCTAGAGCCTCACGTACCCTAGGGAAGCTGCATGTCACTGAACACCAGGCCTGAACTGGGTATATCCCCACCCTAGACAAGGGCTTGCTTTTAGCCCAGGCTGGCCTCAAATTCCTGGCAGTCCTTCCGCTTCAACCTCCTGAGCACTGGGGTGACAGGAGTGCACCACCGTGCCCCAGCCTGCAGTGGGTTTCTAACCTTCCTTGAAAGACAGAGAGTGAAAATCTTGCATGTCTCTGATATGGGCTCTGTGTGTGTATGTGTGTGTGCGTGTGCGTGTGCGTGTGCGTGTGTGTGTGTGTGTGTGTGTGTGTTTGAGACAGGGTCTCACTATGCAGTTCAGGATGGCCTTCAGCTCATTTTGTAGCTCAGGCTGGTCTCGAACTTGCAATGATCCTCCTGCCTCAGCTTCCGTGCTTGGATTACAGGCATGTCTCTACACCCAGTTTGCGGTTTTTTTTTTTTTCCTGTGTGCATTTTTATGTCATTGTCATTGTCTATGACATCTGTGGCAGTCTTAAATGCATTACAGTTAACAAAGATTGGACTTTTAAAGCACCTGCTCATAGTTTCTCTTGAGATACTAACTTAGATACTAACTTTCTAATGTCCATCTTACTTTATCATTGAAAGAAAACAAAGTATTATTCCCTTTAGGCTTTTTAAAAATACAGTTATGTCTCAGCTCATGAACACTTCTGTTTGCAGTTTGGTTTGTAAACAAAGCATTTGGCAAATTTTGCTTCCGTTCTCAAATTCTCTTCCCTAAAATCTTAACATGTTAAGTTCGTACTCTGAGTTACCACTGTGACACTTAATTCTTTTTTTTTTTTTTTTTCTTTTTCTTTTTTACCGGTACCGGGGATTGAACTCACGACTGCCTGCTTGCAAGGCAGGCGCTTATGCCACTGAGCTAAATCCCCAGCCCCCACTTAATTCTTTACGATAATAAAAACATTTGTTTATTGTAGGCAAATACAAAAAACAGGAAAAGCAAAAAACTATTTGGTTTTACACGCTAACTAGTAGTTTCTTTTCTCAGCCCCAGTCCTCACCTTCTCAAAGGGAGCTACATCCTCAGCCCCTTTAAAAATTTTTTTGAGACAAGATCTCACTAAGTCATCCAGGCTGGCCTAATGCTTTTCATACTTTTAAAAACAAAATTGGACGCATCTTGGATATGCTATTTTTCAATCACCTTTGTTTGCTTAATATCACGGACGCTGGCAGGTGTGGTGGTGCATGCCTGCATTCCCGGTCCTGGGGAAGCAGGAGCATCACTTGGGAGCTCTAGGTCAGTCTGGGCTATGCGGAGAGCTCAAGGTCAGCCTGGCACACAGTGAGACAATGTCTCAAAAAGTAAATAACAAAGCAACAACAAAAACCAAAAACATGAGTGTTTCCCTTCCTTGTTACAAAGATTTCTCAAGAACGTTTTTTTAGTGGTGACTTCCACAGCAGAACCATGATTTAGTTTATCCTACTGCTGAGCGCTTAAATTGTTTTCTAATTTAAAACGATAAGGTGGGGGTGTTTCTCCAGCCTTGCCGGTTGGTCATCTTGTTTATTCAGCTTCCCTGCAGGGTGCCAGGAGGCCTAAGCAGACAGGGACGATTCCTAAAGCCTAAAAGCTTAGGTTTAGGAAACCCAGCAGCTGAACTCCCAGGGCTCTTTATGGGAAATTACCCTTCCTCCAATGATTACCCTTAGAAGATGTAGAAATATAAATGAGGAAAACAGAACCCACAACTCTCCTAGTCTCTTGCCCGGAGGCCCAGGTTTTGGTGTACAGAGCAGCCAGGAAGCCCAGGTTAAGAGGGCAAACACGGCCTGGGGATTTAGCTCAGCGGCGTAAGCACCTGCTTTGGAACCAGGCAGTCGTGAGTTCGATCCCTGGTACCGATAAAAAGGGAAAAGACAAAAAAGATAGCAAACACACTTTGAATGTGGTCCAAATTCAAAGTGCAGCCTTATTCTTCAAGTTGCTTTAGGTTGCACTGAAACAGCACCCTCTACATCAGGGTCTGTGGAGTTTTCCTATTGGTCAGTGCCTCGACCTGTTTTTGTCAAACATTGAACCAAGGGGGTTGCATGTTCCTAATTTTCCCCTTATCCTGGTTAATTGGGATACACAAGCAGGTTTTCCCCTTCCCTTTCTGATCTCTAAGGAGAAAGTAATAGAACATTCCAGCAGGTGGATCAGAAGCATTTATTGCAAAGTGAAGTGAGTTCCCAATTTGGGAAATTAACAGATGTTTTTCAGCTTTCTGGGGAAAATTCCTCTTGTGGAACTTTATGTGCTAAGCTGCAGTCACCTGTCCATTTACTGTGACCATTTCTTCTCTGGTTCCAGAGATGGTTTATGAGTAGGAAACATTCCCAGGTTGAGTCCTTGTTTCCCCAAGCTGTACTCAGGAGAACTTTCAACAATGTGTTCTCAGGTCAAATACCGGGCACTCTAAAGCCCTCACTTAGCGGACAGGTGCTTTCTGCCTCATGTATCTGCGAGTTTTCATTTGACCCTTCTGGAACCAGATGCAGGGTGCTGCTCCTTCAGAATCGGAACAGCTTTGCTCTTTTTCCTTCTGTTTCCCAGCAGCAGAGCTGGCTGCAGCCTGAAACTTAAAGGACCAAGTACCTTGAGGGTTTCTCTGGACCTGGACCCTGGAAGGTGCATAGCCACAGGTACAAAGACAGGAAGCAATTTACAGGACACATTTGTTCTGTCCATGGCAGGACGCCAAGGTTACCATTTCAGCTCTGCCACAAATATGCTGTATGATCTTGGGTATCCATTTCCCCCATCTACAGCAGATATCATGAAGGCTGCAGGCTTTAATTTCCAGTTTTCCAGTCTGTTCTCCAGGAAAGCTGTGTCCCTCCCTACTGCCATCCACCTGAGCAAGTGAGTTTGTGTGGGGTATGGCCCGCTACTGTCAGGTGCTGCTGCTGTCCTGGGCCTGGGAGCCACCTAGGGAATGCACACAGTAGTACTTGGTCACCACATGCCTGCATTGGTCACATTTGACTGTGCAGCACCAGTGAAATTTACAATTACAACTGCGCACGGCCTGAGTTCTCCTCTCTTCCACCTGCAGCCCGCACTCGGTGCACAGGCGCCCACAGCTGTGCTGCTCCCTCTGGGATGCATTGCGGCTGTGCTGCAGGCACTCTCGACCCTCTGTGCCATGGATGCCCAGGCTGGAGTTGCGGGTACAGTAGTCTGGAGATTCCTCGAGAAATATCAGCTCTGCCTCAGCACTAGGCAGGAAGGCTTCAGTTGGAGCCCAGCGGCCCTCAGCACTGTTGCCAGCCCTTATGTGCTGCTTGTCCATGTCAATTTTCAGCGCCCGGTCATACTTGGCCTTTAGGTAGCCTCCCATTTCCCGGAAGTCAGCCAGCTGCAGCCAGCATGTCTGGATGCTGCAGCTCCCTGAGATGCCGTGACATTTGCAGGTCCTTCTCATAGTGGCTCTCACTGCCTTTATTGAGACACAAAAGAGAGAATGGCTCTGAGCAAGGGAGGCCAATGGCTACTCATTAAGTGGAATGTTTTAGGACTATGCTTCTCAGCTGGGGAGGAGAAGCAGGATTACTGGTGAAATGTACAAAAATGTATTTTAGGGTCATATATCAGATCTTTCTAAATATGGGAATATTTAGGATAATGATTCTGATGGAGAGATCCTTTGTAAGGACTGGGGATTTAGCTCAGTGGCTCAAATGCTTGCCTGGTAAGCGTGAGGTCATGAGTTCGATCCCATTTGTATAAAGGAAAATATGATCACACATATTATTGTTTTAAAGCTAGGAGCTAGAGTATTTGTGCTAGTTTGGGTTTACTGGGATCTCAGAGGGAATGAAGCTCCTGGAGTTTGAACCCTTATGTCCATAAGGTACCATGGTATACTTTCCTTTTTTCCCCCTCTTTGGCACACCTTCCTTAAAAACCTCTTCCCATGTCCTGGGAAATGAGGACATCTAAGGACAGGTTCACAGGAAAATTTCCGTGATTTGGGGCTCTAAATTTAACTTGCCTCCAGATTTGTGTTCAGAATACTCCAGAGAGGGGCCAGAGGTTTAGCTCAGTGGTGCAAGCATTTGCCCTAGAGAAGCCTAGATCAGCATCAGACAGACTTTGGGACATAAAGCGCAACAACAAGCCCTTATTCATGTCCCAGAACATGCAGGTAATGTGGTTAAAATTATAAGTCACGGAAACAAAGGGGTTTTTTGTCTGTTTTTGTTTCTTGCAGTATTGAGGATTAAATAAACTCAGGACACTTTTACACTGAGCTACATCCCCAGCCCTTTTCACACTTTTTAATTTTGAGATAGGATCTAAGTTACTAAGTTGCCCAGGCTGGACTCAAACTTTTGATCCTTCTGTCTCAGCCTTCTAGCATGCTGAGCTACCATGCCTGGTAGCAAAGCCTTGTTTTTTTATTTTTTGAGACAGAGTCTTGGTATAAAGTTCATACTGGCCTTAACCTCACTATGTACTCCAGATGAGTTTGAGCTCACATCGATCCTCCTGCTGCAGCCTCCTGAGTGTGGGGATTATAGGTGTGTACCATCATGCTTGGCATTAATTCTGTATTATTCTGTGTTCTCAGAAGACTGTGGTAAGGGCTAGAGCCTAAGGTTTGGTGATAAAACCAGAAGATCTAAATTCATTGCCCAGCTCTGATGCTTATTAATTGTATTGTCTTGAACAACTGCTTGTTCCAACGTAACTGGCTTTGTCCTCCACAGAGTGAGGACAGTGTCTCAGTCTGCTGGATGGTTGTGAGGATGAAACATGAGTATGAACAGCTTTTGATAGGCTGCGAAGGGCTGTGCAGATGTGAAGCTGTTGCCAATACTGACCGACTCCTATACCCACCAGCCTGCCGGCCCTGTTGTTGTGAAGATTCATCAGGGCTCTGGCATCCTTCCCCTTCTCCAAACTGTCCACAAAGAGTTTGGAGATCCTTTCCCCAAATTCCACATTGTCGCTGCAGCCTCCCCAGATCCAGCCATGGCCTCCTACACATAAGGAAAGAATGAGTTCTGCATATAGTTCCCTGCTAAGTCCCAGGGGTAGAGTCATGGTCTTTTGGGCGCACACAGCCAAACTATCCCCAGGAGCCCTGGAAGGGTGTGAGCCCAAAACGGAAGGTGAACCTGGGAATGCAGCAGGGTGGTCCTGTGCTTCAGGCACTTCCCAGCTTTAGGCAACGGTCTTCTATACCCAGAGTAAATGTAGGCAGGTTGGGGCTGGCCTAAGTGATCCCAAAGCTTCCTTCAGCTCAAAAATTCTGGAATTGTGCACCATTATTTTTTACAATGGTCTTGTTAGACCTACTTCTTCCTCAGTAGTGACAAATCTGAGAACATTTCTTTGGTTTCTGTGCATAACCAAGTAGCCCTGTGTTATGGACGAGGCTTTCCCATAGGAGGGGCAGCTGTAAGCTTTGGCCCTCTCACTCCTGGAGCCTGGCTGGATTTAGAGATATGGTACTTGCTAATCCCTGGCTTCATGGACCCAGGCTCAGCTCTCAGTGGGTCTAGGTCCAGGAGCTCCCACAGCTGAAGGGGCTACAGCAGCCTAGGTTTTGAGACAGCTGGGTCCCTTCACCTTTCCTGGAAGGTTCTGCCCACCTTCCTTCAGCTCTGCAGCCCCTCACTTCTCTCTACCCTCACCAGAAAGCCAGACTTACCTGTTTTTCCTTTTTTTGACTCATCACAGCCACAATTTTCAAAGTCGCCCATACTACAGTTCTTGGTGATGGTATACATGACTCCGGCAGAGCTGATAGCATGAATGAAGGAAGTCTCTCTGGTGGCTTTGGAGACAAAGAGGAGACTCACTAGAAAGTGGATCCTGATGGCCCAAAGTGGAGGCTCTGGAAAAGCAATACTACTGTGCTCCCTTCCACCCCACATCCTTTGGATTTAAGAAGATGCTTTTCTCACTTCATCCAGGCACGAATGAGCATCCCACGGCATCAGGACCTGTTCCGAAGTCTGTCCAGTAGCCAGTGCAGTTGGTCCACTGCAGACTCAGGGCCACAGTGGCTTAGAAAGGAAAGAAAGAGCTTGTATTCTTTCCCACTGTGAAGCCAGGGCCTCATAGTGAACACTATGACTGTGGCAGTTACTACTGAGCTTTTCTGTTACCAAGCTCTTCACATTCATCCTCACGTACCCCTATTGTCTCTGTGTACCCCGTGGGATGGCGATTCTTTCTGTGCCCATTCTCTCTCTCTTTCTTTCTTTTTTTTTTTTTTTTGTTTTGAGACAGGATCTCGCTGTGCAGTTCAGGCTGGTCTTGTGCTTGCTTTGTAGCCTAGGCTGGTCTCGAACTCGCAACGACCCTCCTGCCTCAGCCTCCCAAGTGCTGGGATTACAGGCATGAGCCACCCTACACGACTGTGTCCATCTCCTTTACTCCCTCTTCCCTGGCTCCTCTCAGGCACGTCCACTGTTCCCACTTTTAGCTGACATGGTGGTGCACACCTGTCATCCCAGCTACTCAGGTGATGACACAGGAGACTTGTAAGTGTGAGCCCAGCATGGGGAATTTAATGACTTCATAAGAACTGATTAAACAAATAAATACATAAACGGCTCAAAACAACAAGCAAAGGGCTGGTGATGTAGCTCAGCTGGAAGACTCTGGGTTCAGTCCTCATCACTTTACGCAGACTGCTGCACAGTTATTGGCAGGGCCCGCTCAGCCATCTGAGGCAAAGCTCAGTGACTTCTCAGTGCACTGTGTATCACTAGGATTTTATGATACCTGGGCAGTTATAAAACTCTTTCAGGGGCCACAAACACAAAACCCTTCTCCCACCTCCTCTTCTGTGGTGTTAAGGATTAAACCTAGGGTCTCTGCACTGAACAACTGTATCACCAGCCCTTTTAAAACAATATTTGGGGGCTGGGGATTTAGCTCAGCAGCATAAGCGCCTGCCTTACAAGCAGGCAGTCATGAGTTCGATCCCTGGTACCGAAAAAGACAAAAAAAAAAAAAACAATTTTTGTTTATTATCTGTTTTTTTTTTAACTTTTTTTTTTTTTAATTGGTACCAGGGATCGAATTCACGACCGCCTACTTGCAAGGCAGGTGCTTATGCTGCTGAGCTAAATCCCCAGCCCCTATTATTTGTATTTTTTATTTTAAGACAAGCTGGGCTCTAACTTGTAATAATCCCCACCCCCCCAGCCTCCCAAAGCACTGGGATTGCAGGTGTGCACCACTACACCTGGCTGCTTTCCCCCTTCATTCCTTCTTTCATTCTTTTTTTTTTTTTTTTTTTTTTTTTTTGAGACAAGGTCTTGCTATGTAGCCCAGGCTGGCCTTGGACTCACAATGATTCTCCTGCCTCAGCCTCCCAAGTGCTGGGATTACAGGCTTACACTACCATACCTGATTCATTTTCTCTCCCCCCATTTTTATTTTATGCAGATCAGTGTCGGCATGTACAAACACAGGCACGCATTCAAAAAAAGAATAATTTCTTACATTAGTCATGAGACACCACCGTCCACTTCATTCAACCTTTAAAATATTCCTAGTCAACTGTGTAGAGCTGGTTTTACTCAAATGACAAAAGTGGTGTTGAAGGGAGTAACGTAATCAAGATCACACAGCACAGACATGGCAGGCCGGCAGGGGGCCTTTAAATGTCACCATGCGCGCACACGCCTCCATGCACCACGACTTACCGCTCCTCAGTCTGTTGTGGGTGGAGATCTGGAGGGCGTTCTCAGGGCAGTTCCAGCGTTCCCAAGCAAACTGGAATTTACACTCCTCGATGCCACTCTGGGCTCCCAAGGCCACGCTGGTTGTGTAGGTCAGGTAGGCCTGGCGAGGGGACAGGGCCATGAGCCTTGCCTGGCACAGGTGCCTGGGTTGGGGAGCAGGCGGGGGCTCCCGCAAGCTGGCTCTTCATTCTTCTGGGATCTCTGGGCCAGGGTGCCTGGATCTGTCTCCCCTTCCCCTAGTTTCTCTCCCCGAAGAACTCCCTTAAGAACCCACAAAGGTAAAAAGGAGGTGAAGACCATCCTACCTTAGGACCTGTCAGCAGGAAATTATTCACTGACCTAACTCGGAGAGAAAAAGGGAGGCAGGCGTGAATGGGGAGGAGATGGGGGAGTCCTAGGTGGGGTGTGGGGGACACAGGAAAGGACTCACCAGGCAGAGGCGCTGAAGGTGGCACAGCCTACAAGCACGGCCAGCTTCAGCATGCGCAGGTCCCCCATGGCCCTGGCCTGCCACCCTAAGGGGACCAGCCCCAGCGAGGGCCAGGGGCAGAAAAGTGGAGACAGCAGGGTCTTTCCTAGTATTTATGTGCGACAATTCTGAATGGCAAAGGTGAAAAGGCAGCACCCCTCCTCTTTTGTCCCCACTGGCAGGACAGCAGGAGACACCGACCCAATGGGGGAGCAGGGAGGAGGAGGGACTCGGCCCAAAGCCTTTGCGCCCCGCCCCCCAGCAGGGCCAGCCTTCTTCCCTCCCAGACCGGGAAAGGGCCTGAAATTTGTCTCCTACCCTTGGGGTTCATTTCCTTTGTAAATCAGTTTCTCTCTTCCTGCCCGAGGGCCCATTTCTCAGAATCCTGTAGCCTGGGACAGCCTAAGCCCCTACCCTAAAGGCAGGTCATCTACCTTTGGAACTACAGGGTCCCCATTTATGGAAGACACTTCACCCATTGCTCTGCCTTCCTCGCAGGATGTTAATTTATGAAGCAGTGATGGCAAACCTTTTAGAGCTTTCAACGAGTCAAATAGCCTGCTGCAGCACGCGTGCCAAAGCTTCGCCACAACCGTAATAGAGGGACTCTGTTTGGGGACCCTTCCCACTCACTTACCCTAACGAGTGAGTATACAGTCTCTACCTCTTGCTGGATGCTTGTATGGTGACAGACCTGCAGGATCATGGAGCAGAAACATTACAGGGGCCATCTCTGCAGCAGTCCCTCCTACTAGTTTCCTCTAGAGTAAATTATGGCAGGTTTCCTTCTTCCTGGTAGGCCTGCCCTTTGGTATCTGACCTTAACTCTCTAGTTTCATTTAACATACCTGAGAACTAATCTTTGGGCACCCGGGGCTGTATTTGAAAAGACTACCGTTGGGGGCGACAAGGATGCTGGGGTCTGAACCCAGGACCTCATGCATGCTAAGCACCCACTCCACCACTGAGCTGTACTCCCAGCTCCATCTGATCCCACTTTACTGCTAAGGTTTGGGCTGCTTAGATAGGAATCTGTCTTTCAGATTCACTTGGTGTTCTTAGTACTGTACTGAAGGAGGTACCTGAACGAAGGAAAGAGGGAAGAAAGGACAGAATCTGTAGCCTTTAATAGGGACTCACGGGTAATCAGGCAGTTGGGGAGGGCGGGTGGAGGTGGGTGGGTGGCTATGGTCTCTCTTGGTTGGTAAAGATCTTTCCTGGGCTGGGGAAGGAAGGAAAGTACAGTGTCTTGTGACCCTCACAGTATCCAGATCACTTCTCAGCACCCAGGATCTGGTTTGTATGGGAAGAGAGCTCAGCACAGTGCCCCACCCCCTCCACCACCACCAAAGGAGCTTCAGGGACCAAGGGTCCCCAGGCTTTAGGATAGAGTGCTAAAAGTATGGGTCAGGAATGCTGTCAGTCTGCAAGCTGAGGTCCCCCCACAAGATAAGTACCGAAGAAATAGAAGTGTCTAGAAGTTGTTACCGCAATCCTATGTAATACTTTTAAATATATTAAACCTACTAAAAAGAAATCTGGACTCTTGTTTTGTAGACTAGCTTTTCCTGTTTCATTTTTTCTAGTAGGATAAGTGTGAAAGTCATCGCTGGACTAATCCTGCTACTCAGCCCCAGCAAATTTCCTTCCCCTGCATCTCTGCTTGGGGAAAAGAAGCATCACAGACTTGAGTCACCTTGGGAAAAACGGACTAAGCTTGTCTTGGTGACCTTTTTCTGTCTCCTGTTTTTCCCAATCAAGAACCTAATGTTTAGCTTTTTTTTTTGTAAGGACTGCAAGTTTGATTTTCCTGCCATTCACCGGGATGGGTGAGGGATCGGTTAGCCCTGGGCAGTCAGGAGATTCCTCCTTGAAAGAGTTTTGGGTATGACTCTGCATTCATTCACGTTCCACATCCATTTTGTTCTTTCTTTTCTTTTTAATTTTGAGGCAGGGTCTTACTATGTAGCTCAGGTTAGCCTCAAACTCACTATGTTGCCCCGCCTAGTCTATAACTTGTGGTCTTCCTAACCCAGCCTTTCAGAAAGCTGAATTATACGCCTGTACCACCTCACGCTTGGCTTTCCATATTCAGTATCTGTGCATAAGAGATTGGGCCTTATTTTTCTGTGTCCCTCATAGCATCTAGGGATTTAGTTAGTACTGTTTGTTTGTTAGTTGTTTGAGGCACAGTCTCACTGTGCAATTCATGCTGGGCTTGAACTCACTGTGTAGGCCAGGCTGGTCTTGAACTCGCAGGGATCCTCCTGCTTCAGCTTCCAGAGTGCTGAGATTGCAGGTGTGCGCTACCTTGCTCAGTTTACTTGGTACTCTGTAAAAAAGATTTACCTGGCACTCTGTAAAAGATCTACTATATTTTCTAGGAAGCAGAGGGGAAGAAAGGGAGTTTGTGTATGTCTGAGAAGTTTGTGCTTGCTTCTGCTTAGATTCTCTAAAGATGGTATAGTTTCTTAAACGGAATTGAAGATGATAAAGGGAAGAGCTCTTCTCTGAGTATCAGAAGCCCTGGGCGTTAGCCACTAATTTTTTATATGACTTTGGTAAAATACAGACCTCTCTTTGGATTCAATTTCTTTATCTGCAAAAATGAAGGAATAGAGAAAATACTTAATGTTGAATAACCCTAAGGACTTTTCAGATCTCTTAACATGCTGTAATCCTAATTTTAAGATTTATAAAAGCCAGGCGTGGTTGCACACACCTGTGATCCAGCAGTCTGGGAGGCTGAGGCAGAAAGATTGAAGTTTGAACCCAGACAGGGCAATTTAACAACTTATCAAGAACATATTTCAAAATAAAAAAAAATAAAATAAAAAACAAGGGCTGCAGATATAGCTTAGTACACAGGCTATGGGTATAATCTCCAGGACTGCAAACAAGACTTTGTCTTTTTCTTTTTTATCGGTACCAGGGATCAAACTCACAACTGCACACTTGAAAGTAAGGCGCTTATGCCGCTGAGCTAAATCCCCAGCCCCAAGATAAATATTTTTTAATTACAGAATTTATTCATTACAGAGGTGATTATAGTCTGGAAATGAAGAAATCTTATCTTCCCTGGCTTTAAGCATAAGAGCTTTGAGCTCTGCAGTTGGAATCACATGGACTTTTTAAAAACTTTTTTTCCTCTAATTCTTTGGAGACAGGTTCTTGCTATGTACTTCAGGCTGGTCTTGAACTCACAGTGATCCTCCTGCCTTGGCCTCCTGAGTGCTAGGATTACATGTTTGCACCCCCACACTCATCCCAAGCCTTTGTAGAGTCTGTATGGTCTGTCTACCTAAGATCTTTGCAAAAGATCCTTCCCTGTAGACAGAGGGTCCCATGGAGGAAGAAGAGGGCCAGAGACAGGTCTCCCACACTGAGTCCACAGGTCTTTTCCAGTCAACCTGCACATCACTTTCCTTAGCACCAGCTCTCCATCTCCTTTATGTTTTGTTTTGTTTCCCAAGCTGGGTTGGAACCCAGGGCTTCCTTCTGCCACTAAGCTGTATCCTTAGCCCATCCATCTTATTAGCTTTTTTAGTGATGATCTGAATTTCTTGGTTTCTCTTTTCCAGGAGTAGAAATCTGGAGTTGAAAACAGAGATGACAAGCCAGGCATGGTGACACATGCCTGTAATTCCAGCATATAGGAGGCTGAGGCAGGAGGCTCATTGGGAGTTAGAGACCAGCCTGAGCTACAAAATGAGCTCAAGGCCAGCCTGAACTGCATAGTGAGACCCTGTCTCAAAAAGACAAAAAAAAAAGAAAAAGAAAAAGAAAAGAAACCAGCGATGACAGTGAGGACAGGATAGAGTAGGCCGGGGATAAAATGGACAAATATAGTAGCATCTCTGAAGCAAGAGTGTGGAGGCAAATGGTTAACAACCGGCTTTGGTGAGGCACAGGGCAGATTGGTTGTGTTGCTGATTTTCAGTCTGAATACTTCCAACATAGACTGGGAAAGTGAAGCACAGGAGTGCATGATTGTGGCAGTATTTCTCTCATCTAGATGTGGGATATATCAAGAGCCTCAAGAGTATAAATAATAAGCTGGGCGTGGTGGCTCATGCTTGTGATCCCAGCACTCAGGAGGCTGAGGCAGGAAGATTGTTGTGAGTTGAGACCAGCGTGGGCTACAAAGAGAACTCAAGGCCAGTTTAAACTGCATAGTTGGGGCTGGGGATTTAGCTCAGCGGCATAAGCACCTGCCTTGCAAGCAGGCAGTCGTGAGTTCGATCCCTGGTACCGATAAAAAGGAAAAAGACAAAAGGAAAAAGACAAAAAAAAAAAAAAAAAAAAAAAAAAAAACAAAAAAAACTGCATAGTGAGACTGTCTCAAAAAGATTTAAAGAAAAAAAAGAGTATACATATAATATAAAAATGTGACAGGTACAGCGGTACATACTTGGGTTTTTGGTACTAAGGATCAAACTCACAACCTCAGGCTAAATCTCGAGCCCCTCGTGATACATGCTTATAATCCCAGCTGTAGAAGGCTGAGGCAGGAAGATTGTAAGTTTGAGGCCAGCCTGTGCTGCATAGTGAATTCAAGATGGGGTTAGTCTGGATTATCAGACAAAACAAAGAAGAAAGGCAGGAAGGAAAGAAGGAAGGGAGGGAGGAAGGGAAAAATATAGCAAAATAATTAGGAAACAATGAATTCTGAGTATTTATTGTCACTGGATTTTTGTTTGTTTGTTTTTTGAGACAGGGTCTTGTTATGCAGTTCTGGCCGGCCTTGAACTCACCATGCAGTGTAGGCTAGCCTGGAGCTCGCAGCAATCCTTCTGCCTCAGCCTCTTGAGTTTTGGGATTACAGGCATGCACCTCCACATCCAGCCTGGATATTTGTTTTATTTTTTGAGACAGAGTCTTGCATGCAATCTAGATTGACCTTGAATTTCTGTTCCTCTTGCCTCAGCCTCCCTAGTGCTTATAATTCAATTTTAATTAATTAATTAAATTTAATTCAAATTTAATTTTTCAGTAGGTACTACGAACTCAGAACCTTGCATTTACTTGC